GTTATATTAGTTTCATGTGTACAATATAGTGATTCAGCAATTCTATATGTTACTCAGTGCTCATCACGATAAATGAACTCTTAATCCCCTTTACCCATTTTACTCTGCCACCCACTCACTTTCCCTCTGCCAACTGCCAGTTGTTCTCTGTATTTAAGAGTCTGGTTTTTTTGTTTTGTCTTTTTTCCTTTGTTCATTTGTTTTGTTTCGTAAATTCCATATGTGAGTGAAATCCTATGGCTTTTGTCTTTCTCTGACTGATTTCACTTAACATTATACCCTTTATACCTTCCAGATGGATCCATATTGTTGCAAATGGCAAGATTTCATTGTTTTGCATTGCTGAGAAGTATTCCATTGTGTGTGTGTGTGTATGTGTGTGTGTGTGTACAACACATCTTCCTTATCCATTCATCTGTAGGTGGGCATTTGGGTTTCTTCCATATTTTGGTTATTGCAAATGATGCTGCAATAAACATGGGGTGCATCTGTTGTTTTAATTAGTATTTTCATATTCTTTGTGTAAATACCCACTAGTGGACTTACTGAATCATAATGGTAATGCTAGTTTTAACTTTTTGAGCAACCTCCATGCTGTTTTCCACAGTGACTGCACAAGCTTGCATTCCCAACAGTGCACAACGGTTCTTTTTTCTCCACATCCTTACCAACACGAGTTCTTTCTTGTGTTTTTGATTTTAGCCAATTTGACAGGTGTGAGGTGATACCTCACTGTGCTTTTGATTTGCATTTCCCCAATGATTAGTGATGGTGAGCATCTTTTCAGGTGACTCTTGGTTGTCTGGATGTCTTCTTTGGAGAAATGTCCGTTGATGTCATCTGCTGATTTTTTAATTGAATTATTTGTGTTTTGGGTGTTGAGTTGTGTAAATCCTTTTATATTTTGGATACTAACCCCTTAGTAGATATATCATTCTCTCATTCAGTAGGTTGTCTTTTTTTTTTTTTTTTTTTTTTTAAATTTATTTGTCAGAAAGAGAGAGTACTCACAAGTTGGGGGAAGGGGTAGAGGGAGAAGGAGAAGCGTATTTCCCACTCAGTGGGGAGCCCAATGTGGAACTCAATCCCAGGACCCTGGGATCATGACCTGAGCCGAAGGCAGATGCTTAACCAACTAAGCCACCCAGGCACCCCGTGTCTTTTTGTTCTGTTGTTTCCTTTGCTGTGCAGAAGCTTTTTATTTTGATGTAGTGCCAGTAGTTACTAGGGTTTTTTTGCTTTTATTCCCTTGCCTCAGAGACATATCTAGAAAATGTTGCTACCGCCAGTGTCAGAGAAATTATTGCCTGTGTTCTCTTCTAGGATTTTTATGGTGCCAGGTCTCACATTTAGGTGTCTGATCCATTTGGAATTTATTTTTGTATACAGTGTAAGTGCTTTGATTTCATTTTCTTGCATGGAGCTGTCTAGTTTTCCCAACACCATTTGTTGAAAAGACTTTCTCCCATTGCATATTCTTTCCTTCTTTGTTGTAAATTAATTGACCATATAATTGTAGATTTATTTCTGTGCTCTTTATTCTGTTCCCTTGATCTATGTGTCTTTTTGTGTCAGTACCATATTTTTGGAATATTTTGAGAAAAATAGGTTTTAACTCTTCTTTAAATGTCTGGTATAATTCACCTATGAAGCCATCTGGTCCTGGACTTTTGTTGGTTGGAAGTCATTTGATTACCAGTACCATTTTATTGCTGGTAATTAGTCTGTTCAAGTTTTCTCTTTCTTCCTGATTCAGTTTTGGGAGGTTATATTTTTGTTTCTAGGAATGTGTCCATTTCTTCTAGGTTATCCAGTTTGTTGGCACATAATTTTTCATAATATTCCCTTAGAATCCTTTGTATTTCCCTGGAGTCAGTTGTTATTTCTCCTCTTTCATTTCTGATTGTGTTTCTTTGAGTTCTCTCCCTCCCTCCCTCTCTTCCCCTCTCTCTCTCTCTCTCTCTTTCTTTTTGATAAGTCTAGCTAAAGGTTTATCAATTTAGTTGATCTTCTCAAAAGAACCAGCTTCTGGTTTCATTGATCTGTTCTTTTTTTTTTTTTTAGTTTCTCTCTCTCTCTCTCTTTCTCGCTTTCTCTCACTCTCTCTATATATAGATGTACACACTCTAATTTTTATTCTTTCTTTCTTCTGGGTAGCCTGTTTCTTAATGGTCATACTATGTTGAACCACATGACAATGCTGATATTTGACAGTATTTGGTTGGTAAAAAGAACAGAGTCATTTGACTCTAATAGTTAAAGAGCAAGGTAGATTCTGGAAATATAAAATAACAAATTGTGTGATATGGTTTAGTCACTAAGTCATGTAGCAATTTGAAAAAATAGAGTCATTAGCTTGGATGAAGAAGTTAGGAAAAACTTTCATAGAATAAAGTTTCACTTTAAATCTCTAATCAGCTAGAGGGGCTTCTCCTGAACATTTCAGTTTTTTTCTTGCTATTAATAGTTGAATTAACCTGGTAAGTCCATCAGATTTTTGTCTTAATGTAGAATTTTTTTATGTATGTGTTTTTATTTAAATACCAATTTTTTAGTCTTTTGGCCCCACATTTATTCTTTCAATTCATTTTTTCGTATTTAAAAAAATAACAAAATTTATCATCCTAACCTTTTTTTTTTTTTTTTAAGATTTTATTTGTTTATTTGACAGAGAGAGAGAGAGAGAGAGAGAGAGAGAGAATACAAGCAGGGGGAGTGGGAGAGGAAGAAGTAGGCTTTCTGTCGACTGGGGAGCCGAACGTGGGGCTCGATCCCAGCACCCTGGAATCATGACCTGAGCCAAAGGCAGATGCTTAATGACTGAGCCACCCAGGCACCCCATCCTAACTGTTTTAAGTGTACAGTTGGTTGTGTTAAGTGTATTCACACTGTTGACAAACAGGTTTTTAGAATTTTATCATCTTATAATACTGAAGTTCTTTATCCATTAAATACCGCTGTTCCCCCTCCCTGCAGCCCCTGATTACCATCATTCTATTTCCTGTCTCTGTGAAATAAACTATTTTAGATACCTCATATAAGTGGGATCATAGATTATTTTTCTTTTTGGCTCATTTCACTTGGGATAATGTCCTCAAGGTTCATCCGTGTTGTAACATGTGGTACAATTTCCTTCCCTTTTTTAGTTTTCTTTCAGAGTTAAAAATTTTTTGACATACAAAAAGCTGTACATAACTAATGCAGACAAATTAAAGGAGTTAGAGATAAGTACACACCAGTGATCCATCATTGCAATCTATGCCATAAATCTGTCCATCACTTTTAGAAGTTTTCTCCCACCCTCTTATTTGTTATTATTATAGGTTGTTTTAGTGATAAAACACTTAGCATAAGGCTTACCCTCTTAGCAAATTTTTAAGAGAGTTTATTTATTTATTTATTAGAGAGTGAGAGAGAGAGAATGTGGAGGGCGGAGCAGAGGGAGAAAGACCAGCGGACTCCGCACTGAGCTCAGACAGGCACTGAGCACAGACAGGCACTGAGCACAGAGCCTGACACAGGGCTCAGTCCCAGGACCCTAAGATCACTGCCTGGGCGGAAATCAAGAGTGGACGTTTAACCCACTGAGCAACCCAGGACCTCCACCCCCCGCCCCCCACCCCTTGGCAAAGTTTTTAATATACAATAGAGTTTTGTTAACTATAGGCACTGTGCTGTTCAGTAGATCTCTAGGACTTATTTACTTTGTGTAATTGAAAATTTCTACCCTTTGATTAATATCTCCCCTTTCCCCTTTGCCCATCCTCTGGAAAGCACCATTCTACTCTCTGCCTCTATGAGTTTGACTGTTTTATATTCATAATGTAAGTGGTATAATATAGTATTTGTTCTTCTGTGTCTGGCTTATTTCACTTACCATAATGTCCTCTAGTTACATCTGTATTGTCATAAATGGCAAGATTTCCTTTTTTGATGCTGAATAGTATTCCTGTGTGTGTGTGTGTGTGTGTGTGTGTGTGTGTGTGTTGCACATATCACATTTTAATTTGTTGACTGATAGGCATTTATGTTGCTTCCATGTCTGGGCTATGGTGAATAATGCTGCAATGAATGTGGGAATATAGATCTCTTTGAGATCCTGATTTCAGTTTCTTTGGATATATATCCAAAGTGGGATTGCTGAATCATATTGTACTTCTATTGTTAGTTTTTTTGAGAATCTTCCATCCTGTTTTCCAAGGTGGCTGTTTCAATTTACATTCCCATCAACAGTGTACCAGGGATCCCTTTTCTGTACATCCTCACCAATACTTGTTATCTTTCTTGTTTCTTTTATCATATCTGTCCTAACAGGTGTGAGGTAATATCCCATTGCAGTTTCAATTTGCATTTCCCTGATGATGTTGAGCACATTGTCATATATATGTTGGCTATTGATGTATCTTTTGTTCACTTCCTTTGCTCATTTTTAATCAGGTTATTTGAGGTTTTTTTGCTATAATGTTGTAAGAGTTCTCTATATGTTTTGCATATTAGCTCTTTATTAAATATATTGTTTGCAGATATTTCCTCCCATTTCATAGGTTGTCTTTTCATTTCGTAGATTGTTTCTTTTGCTGTCCTGAAGTTTTTTAGTTTCATGTAATCCTGCTTGTCTCTTTTTTCTTTTGTTGCCTGTGCTTTTAGTATCATATCCTTTGTTTTAGGCTGAATGTTACTCTTTTGTATGGAGATGCCACATTATCTTTAATGCCTCATCTATCAGTGGACATCTCAGTCACTTCAAACATTTTTAGCTGTTGTGAATAGTGTTGCTATTAACATGAATGTGCAAAAATCTCTTCATGACTCTGCTTTCAATTCTTTTGGATATAAAACCAGCAGTGGGATTGCTGGATCATATGATCGTTCTATTTTTAACTTTTTGAGGAACCTCTTCATGCAGAAGTTTTCACAAATTTCATTGCTGTTGCTTCTGCTAAACTATCTGAAAATCTTTATTACTTGGTTAATGCAAATTTATTTTTTTGCATATCCAGGGCCCTTGCAGAATCTCCACCATCCGTTAACAACCTGAAGAGTGAAGTCGGTGATAAAGGGAAGAATAAGGATGAAGAAGTTGGTAACAATGAAAAAAAAGCTGCAGATGTTTGTCTTGAGTCTCATCCAGAAGAGAAAAAGAAGAAACGTTCTGGATTCAGAGACAGAAAAGTATGGAATACAGTCTTATAAATTAGTCAAAGCTGTTGTTAATTCTAAATTAGAATAATGCATTTGAGTCTCTTTTATAGTTTACTTCAGATGGTTCATATTCTCCTTACAATGATATTCACCTCTCTGCTGGTTTTTTTGGTCATTTTCCTTTTTTTTAATTAATTTTTTTATTTTTTTATAAACATATAATGTATTTTTAGCCCCAGGGATACAGGTTTTTTTCTGTCATTTTCTAAAAAGGCAAATATAGTCCTGGAATGTGAAGTTAATGGGGCTAGTGAAAAGATCTAGAATTGATAATCAGGATTTGCATATATTTTCTTCATTCTTTTAATGCCACTACTTTAGCTGATTCTTGCTTTCCAGATCTTTCTGATGCTAAATGTTCTTGGAAATGTTAAGTCTTTGGTACAATTGATTTATGATGCCAAATTTGTAAAGGCAGAATAACCTCTCTTTGGAAATACACAAATATTTCCAAAAATTCTACTAATTTTGATGATAGTATAAACGTTGAATGACTTCAGCTTTTAATATCTTTAATACAACCTGCTGTTACAGAGCTCTACCTCAGAAAAATTGCAATTCCAGTATAGTATGCCTATGATACTGAGCATTTGAATTCATCAGACATGAGTAATAAAAAGTCAAAAAGATGAATTTCTTAGACATCTGCATGTTAATGTTGAAATTCAGGGAATTGCTTCCTTTGATAAAATGTAGCTAATAAGTGTAGCATGATAATTTGAGTTATTTCTGTGTTGCATGCATGTTTGTGTGGGGGGGGTATATATATTTGCAAGAAGAGTTCCTTTGAGAAATTTGGATTGTTTGGATGAAATTATTAAATATGTTTTTTCATTTCTCAAATTTGTTTCTGATTGAGGTGAATTTGAGCAAAAATGATATGTTATAACTTACAGAAAATGATATAAGTCAACTATCCCAGTATTTCCACAATGATATATTTATTTGATCTTTTGCCCTGAGTGAATTTGAGTAAAGTTTCAATTTATCTTGTCCCAGCAGTTTCATTTATAGTTTTTACATTTTACAAAATAGAGCTAAAATTACCCAAATAAGCATTTATTTTTGAACTTTCCGTTTTCTTCTCCTGCTTTCTGCTTAGCAGTGACCATATATCATACTTTGCAGATAAAAATGAAAGCTTGATCAGTATAATTTACTTAATTTGTAACTCCCGTGGCTATAAAACCTTTCTAATCTATTTCTGAAATAATTCTTATTTCAGTATAGTCTCAGTGGAAGAGCTTTGTTTTCCGTATTCAAGGATAACCATTCCACATGTCATCCCATTTCCCCAAGAACCTGTTTCAACACTTATTTTTTCTTCTCTCCAGTTTCCTCAGTTACTCTTTGTCTTTTCATTTATTACATAGTACACATAGACAAGTTAAAGATTTTTCCACCTTTAATAAAATAATAAATTGCATTTCTGAGCATGGTTTTTTGTTTTTGTTTTTTTGCCATTCACCTTCTTTCCTGCTACATCAAACTGCTCTGGCCTCTACAGCTTCTCTTTGACATCCTCACTTTTTTCTTAAGCTTTTTGGTTTTGTTCTTTTATATTGTCTTGATTTTTATGTAATATTTCAAATATTCAGTGAGAAAAAAATACAGACTACTATAATGAACATGTACATATCTGACACTTGTTTTTGTCAAGTTTTAACATTTGACTATATTTGCTTCATTTTTTTTAAAGAAACAAAATGAATATAAAAAATACATTGCTGTATACTTTCCCCAATCCCATTTTTTCCCTCTTTTTCAGAGGTGAACCATTTGCTTTAATTTGTGATTTATTAATGTCATGTATGGCCTGGTGGTTTTGTGTGTTTTAGTTTTAATTAAAAAAAAAAAAATTCCCAGGTCCAAAGAGTTAGGACAGCCCTATCAATCAGTTTATGTTATACTGTTGTTGTACGTGCTTCTCTTTCATTTAATATTTATATTATTTTATCTTCTTTCATTTTATTTTTTATTTTTAATTTTAATTTTCAATTTTCTTGTCCCTTCTGACACATCAAGTCCTGAATTCTGAAAAATTCTCACACACTGCTTCAGTATTGCTTCATGGCCATTTCTTTTCTCTTGGAACTCTTATCTTACATCCTCACAACCTATACTACATATCTTATAACTGTTCTTTATATTTTTTCTCAGTAGTTCTTCCCCTACTGTCATGGGGCCTCTTTTCTTTTTCTCCCCCCCCCCTTTTTTTTATGGTGTTAAAATGTCACATTTACCATGTTAACCATCTTTAAATGTACATTTCATCACAGAGTGTCAGCATTTTCTCACCACCCATCTCCATAACTGTTCTTATGTTATAAAACTGAAAATATATACCCATTAATCAGTAACTCTTTACTACCCCCTTCCCTAGCCCCTCGAAACCACCTTTCTGCTTTTTCTCCATGATTTTGAATGCTAAAAGAACCTCATACAAGTGGAATCATAGAGTATTTGTATTTTTGTTACTGGCTTGTTGCACTTCATGTAATGTCCTCAAGGTTCATCATGTTTTAGCATATGTTGGAATTTTCTTACTTTGGGGGATGTTACAGGGTATGAATATACTATATTTTGGTCATCCATTCAATCTCTTGATGGATATTTGTGTTGCTTCCATATTCTAGCTGTTGTGAAAAATGCTGTGAACATAGGTGAACAAATACCTATTGGAGACCTTGCTTTCTATTCTTTTGGGTATCTACCCAGAAGTGAAATTGCTAGATCATATGGTAATCCTATTTTTAATTTTCTTATGGAACCACCATACTGTCTTCCACAGTGATAAGCCATTTTGCATTCCCACCAGCAAGGGTTCTACTTTGTCCATATCTTTGCCAACACTTGGTATGTTCTTATCTTAGATTAGCCATCCTAACAGATGTAAGGTGCTATCCCAGTACAGTTTTCATTTGCATTTCCATAATGTCAGTGACGTTGAACAACTTTGCATGTGCCTAGTAGTCAATTGTATGTCTTCTTTGTAGGAATGTTCATATCCTTTGCCCATTTCTTAACTCTGTTGTTGTTGTTTTTAATTGTTGAGTTTTAGGAGGTCTCTATATAAAATCTGTTAACTAGTTATCAGATATAGGATATATGATTTGCAATTATTTCATCTCATTGTATGAACTGTCTTTTTTTTTTCTTTGTTGCTTATGCCTCTGGTGTCATATCTGAGAAATCATTACCAAATCTAATGTTGTGTTGCTTTCGACCTATGTTTTCTTCCATAAGTAAATAGTTTTAGGTCTTTCATTTTGGTCTTTGATCTTTGATCTTTGGTCTTTGGTCTTTGATCCATTTCAAGTTGTTTTAAAAGATTTATTTATTTATTTTAGAGAGACAGAGAATGCATAAGAGTCAGGATGGGATAGGATGGGTAGAGTGGAAGGGAGAGGGACAAGCAGATTCCATGCTGAGCATGGAGCCTGTTGCAGGGCTCAGTCCCACAACCCATGAGATCACAGTCTGAGTCGAAATCATGAGTTGGGTGCTTATTAACCAACTGAGCCACCCAGGCACCCCCTTAGTTTATTTCTTATTATGGAGTTAGATCTTATCTACCACAGCTTCATTCTTTTGTATGTGGATACCAATTTTCCCAGCACCATTTGTTGAAAAGGCTATCCTTTTTTCCATTAAATGGTTGTGGCTCCCTTGTCAAAAATCATTTAACCATGTATGTGAGGGTATATTTTGAGTCTGTATTCTATTCCAGTGGTCTGTATGTTTGTCTTCATGCCAGTACCACATTCTTTTGATGACTGTAGTTTTACAAGATTTTATTTATTTATTTGAGAAAGAGAGAAACAGAGAGAGCGAGCAAGCAAGCACAAGCAGCAGGGATGGGTAGAAGGAGAGGGAGAAGCAGACTCCCTGCCACGGAGGGAGCCTGATGAGGAACTTGATCCCAGGACCTGGGGATCATGACCCAGCTGAAGGCAGCTATTTAACTGACTGAGCCATTCAAGCGCCTGTAGTTTTATAATAAATTTTAAAATCAGGATGTAGTTGTCCTCAAACTTTGTTCTTCTTTTTCAAAATTTGTTTTGGCGGTTCAGAGTCCCAAGAGATCCTGTGACGCATATTAGTTATGTGAATCATGGTATATTGAACATGGGAGTACAGATATATCGTCAAGATACTGGTTTCACTGGACCGTTTCCTTACACCACACACGAAAATGGACTCAAAATGGATGAAGGACCTCAATGTGAGAAAGGAATCCATCAAATCCTTGAGGAGAACATAGGCAGCAACCTCTTCGACCTCAACCACAGCAACTTCTTCCTAGGAACATCGCCAAAGGCAAGGGAAGCAAGAGCAAAAATGAACTATTGGGACTTCATCAAGATCAAAAGCTTTTGCACAGCAAAGGAAACAGTTAACAAAACCAAAAGACAACAGACAGAATGGGAGAAGATATTTGCAAATGATATGTCAGATAAAGGGCTAGTATCTCAAAATCTATAAAGAACTTAGCAAACTCAACACCCAAAGAACAAAAAATCCAATCAAGAAATGGGCAGAGGACATGAACAGATATTTCTGCAAAGAAGACATCCAGATGGCCAACAGACACATGAAAAAGTGCTCCACGTCACTCGGCATCAGGGAATTACAAATCAAAACCACAATGAGATACCATCTCCCACCAGTCAGAATGGCTAAAATTAACAAGTCAGGAAATGACAGATGCTGGTGAGGATTCAGAGAAAGGGGAACCCTCCTACACCATTGGTGGGAATGCAAGCTAGTGCAACCACTCTGGAAAACAGCATGGAGGTTCCTCAAAAAGTTGAAAATAGAGCTACCCTATGACCCAGCAATTGCACTACTGGGTATTTACCCTAAAGATACAAACGTAGTGATCCGAAAGGGCACGTGCACCCAAATGTTTATAGCAGCAATGTCCATAATAGTCAAACTATGGAAAGAACCTAGATGTCCATCAACAG